GCCTAAGGCATTTGACTGCTAACCAGAAGGTTGGCGGTTCAAACCCACCAGCCACTCTGTGGAAGGAAGACTGAGCCATCTACTTCCATAAGGATTTACTGCCTCAGAAATCCAAAGTGGATTACTATGAGTTGATGGCAGTGGGCAGGGAAGGGACTATGCAGAGTACTGATGGAGACACTGCTGAAATTCTCCAGCAACAGCAGCACCAGCAGGAGAGAAAAGGGAAGGTTGAAACAGCCATACTACAAATTGACCATTTAAGACTTTAAGTGTGTTGATCAATTGCAATCACCCTCTTGGGAAAGCCTTTACCAATTTGCTAAGCTTGTCCATATTTCTTTTCTTCCCCAGAGCTATTTTCCTAACCTTACAGTCTCCTCTAAACCAAAGAATAAACAAAAGATTTTGTTTTAAACCCACAGCTGAATGAAAAGGGATATAGACATATATAGTTAGTTATTTTATGTATTAGTCATGTTTGAGATTCTTATTTCTTTAAAATGAAATTCCTTTGAATCAAAATCCAATACCAAATTTTCCCAGGTGTAATCTATGGCAGTACCTAGTATAGCACTTTGTATAGAGTACAAATTCAGTATGCAATGGTTGAAATAAGGAAGAATGAATTTACAGTCCACAAATAAAGAATGTAAAGTTGGACATTAGTGGAAAACATGAAAATGATATATAGCTAAAGTGAATGACACTTGGAAGGGAGGAAAAATCACTAATTAGATCATTATTGTTTTTATTGTTATGTGCTGTCGAGTTGGACCTGACTCATAGCAACCTCTCCTTGGGTTGCCAAGGCAGTATCACTATGGAAGTAGATAGCCCAACTAGATAATGTTGTTGTTGTTGTTGTTTACCATCAAGTCGCACCCGACTCATAGTGAACCCTCCTTAGGTTGCTGAGGCAGTATGACTACGGAAGTAGATTGCCCCATCTTCCTTCCGAGGAGTGGCTGGTGGGTTTGAACCGTCAGCCTTCTGTTAGCAGTCAAGTGCCTTAGGCACTATTAATTTGGGTCAAGTGAAAGGGGTAATCAGCACAGTATCACTAAGGCAAAGGAAGACACTGACAGGTGTACAAGAGTTACAGGCAACAAAGGTAAATACTGAAAAATAAACCAAAAAACCAAACTCACTGCTGTCGAGTCAGATCCAACTCATAGCGACCTCTCCTTGGGTTTCTGAGGCAATATCACTACGGAAGTAGATTGCCCAACCTTCCTTCTGAGGAGTGGCTGGTGGGTTACATCAGTTAATAATGATCTACAAGTGGATACATAGACAGACATGCAAGCTCAACAAGTACAGTAGGTGAATGGGACTACATGGGACTACATTCATATAGGTTTGGCAGAGGCTATTTCTACATATGTATTAGTATATGCTATAAATATATCCATGTATAAAGTAGAGCAAATAGCAGGCAAGGTTATGAAAATTTCTTAGCCATAACCAAATACCTTGTGGGAATGAGGCACTGGGCTTGGGACCTGAGGACCACAGTCTCAGGGAATAACTGCTGTTGCCTGCCAATCTTGGGATTGTTCCTGGACTTGAACCAGTGGTCTACTGTGTTGCCTGTTAATCTTGGGGTTGTACCATTTTACCTGTTGACCTTGGGTTCATCAGCCTTAGCAGCCAGCAGCTGTTTTTATTATGAGACACCTCTAGCTTCAGTGGGCCTGGAATAAGAGGCAGAGATGAAGCCCAAGGTCGAGGGGCCCTCACCCAGACCCTAGAGCCAGCACTCTGAATTTGGACTTCTAGCTTCCTAAATTCTAAGGAGAATAAATTCCTGTTTGTTAAAGGCATCCACTTGTGGTATTTCTGTTGTAGCAGCACTAGATAACTTTAAGACAAGTGCCAAGTCTGAAAATACTCCCTCAAATACTGAGTATCTAGGAATCAAGAATTCTGGAAATTTCCAATATTGAAGTAAATTAGGTATAGTTCATATTTGTAAACTTTTCAGTTAACTCTTATGAGCCTTAACTGGTCCACAGAGTAGGCACAAAATGTAATTATCAGTTTAATTTACATATCACAAGATCACTGGTAGCATAGTG